ATTCGCTAAACGGGGCCGGACGACAGCGGAACTCATTATCCCCGGTACCACCCGCCGTGACCATTTTGAATTTAAAAGAAGATTATCCCGAGACGAGTTATTGAAATCTGATGGGGACGAGTTATTGAAACCTGCGCCATCTCCGTAAGGAAGACACCGTTTCTGATCAACTCGGCCGATGCTTTCAGGAATTTAATAGTCCTTGATTTAGGACTCTGAGACTCTCTATGCAGCCTGAACTTATAATGACAATCTCTGCGTTATCGAACCTTCTTCGACGACGAGATGTATTATTAAGATAAGTGCAATGAGAGGATTATATAAGACGTATGGCGAATCCCGATTGCTTTTCTTCATTAACCGTGCGTGCGAGTAATATTAATGATACAAATTTTTTTAATTGAATTAATTTTTTTAATATATAAATTTACGCATATATATAAATAACTAAAAATTTATTTATTCTGTTAAATGTAAAATTTAAAATAAAATATGGAAGGAAAAGCTGCAATTCTTTTTAAAACGATTTACAATTTGCAGTTTAAATAAACAAAATGCGCTAACAATGTTAATAGCTTCGGCGTAGTTTCAATTCGACTAACAATAAGATACTTGATATCATCCATTGATCCATCGAACTCCAGCCATATATCGAACGCGATATATGGCTAAGCCCTCTTAAAGCTCTTTTTCCGTTCGCTCGAATGACGTTGCGCTCGATTCGACGACTCGGCAAATATACGAAAGCATGTCACCTGTTAACATAGTAGCTGTTATTTCCACCACAGGGAACAGGACACCCCTTGTTAGCCCTCCACGCGCTCGTAGACTTTAACTATGCACGAATTCCCCGCGCTGTCGGACAACTATAGAAAACATTTCCGACGGACGCGCGTCGCAACTTCGCGCATTATTCGACGTCACTTTTCTCGCCCTCGACAGCTGTGATGCTTTTAATTGTTTATAAAGCGAGAGCCGGGCGAGAGGTCCGAGTAAACGTGCGGGGTTGATTGAGTTTTGTGGGTTAACAGGCAGTGCCCTGTCGAGCCCCCGCTTCCATATCAACGCCGACCTGCGAACCTACCAACTCCGATTCTCGACGTTACACTTCCGAACTGAGGCTTTCCTCCATCCTCGAAACTGGTAATCGACTGTGAGTTTAACAGATTGAGACACGACAGCTAACCGCCCTCTCTCTCTTTCTCTTTCTCCTCGCCATTTCTTCTGGCCCATCCCTCCCTCCTCCCACTTCCTTTTCCTAGCTGGCTTCCCATCTTGCTCCGGGCAGCCTCGGGGTCGATACTACTATCGCACTCTACTTTCCAGCCCCCGGGGCTCTTTGCCTTTCTTTTCTCACCTCGTTCCCACCTTTGGGGGATGAAGGCCACTTACTCGAGCTTTTTCTCTTTGACCTACTGCTGGCATCGGCACGCAGATCCGTGATCCCTTAGCACGAAGCACGATAAGCGGTGAATTAGGTGGGCCCTTTTAAACTCGATTCACGCCACACGGACACAGAGCAGTGATCACGATTTGGTCAATCCACTAACATCATATCGTATCGCAATCGATATTTGAATCAAGCTCAAATCTTTGTTGATCTCTCAACAGTTTGTTTATTTAAAATATATATATATGTATATATATATATATATATATATATATATATATAATCGCGATATGACGTTGCTCACGCGAAGTGACCTTTCGCTATCGCACCCGTATCTTTTTATAGACCCGCAGAACGTTAAAACTGTAAATGGTTGAAAAACGATATCATTTTTTTTAAACAAAGACTTACATTTTTGAAACAGCTTTGCCAACATAGATGCACCGCAGATAGTTTTTTATCGCACTCACACCATTATTCTCTTTTTTAATTTTACGAAGCATCCGTACGAATGAATCCGTGTTATGCACCGCGGAGAGATCCAATTTCTGGAATAAAAAATAGCTATAGACGTACATACACGCGGAACGGGGCGTTGCATATAGAGAGCCGAAATAAATAACAAACCGCGTCACTACTGAGAATGACTATTCTATTTCTGTATAATACCGAATTTTCAGTCTCTCCTCGCTATTTTTCTTTTTTTTTTAACCCGTCTACTTTTCGTTTTGACCTGTTACCGCTCCTAGCGGGCAGCGGCAAAAGTTCGCACGAGCTGTGTGGTAACCGACATATTTGGAGCACCACACAACTGGCTCGCAAAAACAGATTGTTAGTTAGTTCGCGATACTTTCTTGACGAGTGCATTTTGATGATGACTAAGCAAAGTTGCTTAAAAATGTATTCCGATTATCAAATGACGACGGAAAAAAACTTGGAAAGCTTTGGAGTAATTTTACACATTATTATGATTGTTTTAATTATTTTTATCGTACAAAAGAGCGTAAAGACGATATAAAGTCCGTGAGAGATACGTTTCGAGAAATAATGAATAATTGAACAATTTCCTCCTCCTCTGTACTCCGTACTTCTTTATTTTTAGAATCTTTTTTTTCTTACGATGCACAATGTAACGCAAAAAATGGATATCCTGTCTGTACGGATAACTGTCTGTATACAGAATGAATGGGGCATGTAGTTACATAATTGTACAAATTTGTCTTCTTTTATTGTTCGTAAGAGTCATTAATAATTTAATTATCGTCCAGCTAATTATGTACGATCATCCAGTAAATGATTAATTGCATTGATTAAATGATTCGTCACATTGTAAAACCATCTCGCCCTCTCGTCCGAAATTATTAAAATTTCCCTAAATAATTTGCTAATTACACGTGCGATAATTCTGCTTCTCGTTTATTAACGAAGGTTACCAACGAACGTGAAGGAAGAGTCTTACGATCACGGAAAGGTTTCCCACTCGGAGAAATAGATAATGTCGATTGATCGACTACTTGTTGAAATAACGATGATCCCTTTTAACGGGCAAGACCATCGAGTTCTCGAATTCTCTCCCCAAAGCTATCTATAGAGCATGTACATCCTAAATTATGCATGATCTGTACACATGGCGCACTGTGGATTGTATATAGCGGAAACGGACGTGCATCATCTATACATATACAAACGTCCTGTTTCTACATGTATTTATATTTCATGTCCGCTGGCCTAGAGGGATGATAAATTTACAACAATAATTATCTGCATTGGACTAAATACAGGTTAATTTGGGCAAGGCTCGATGAAGTCGAGACGTATAAAAAAAAAGTATATGTATACTAAAAGTTTGTTCCCGGGATAAAATATTACGCTCTTCTGTGAATGTGAATGCATGCTCCCTGTTAAATGGAAGCTCGCATTCATCTTATTCCTTTCAATTTTAATCTTTGCCTTTAATATACTTTTCATACCTTTCATCGCGCGGCGCGAATGCATTTCTATGCTACGCTGCATGTTGCACACATCACTTCAGAAGTGAAATTAGAGACCTTACGCAGCAAATATTATAGTACACATATTACATATATCATTAATCATATCGTATTTTATACATTACACAAAAAGAACAGTTTACTTGATAGTATACGTACACACAATATTAATATTAAATTCTTAAAGTCCTATCTTGGGAAGGAAATTTAAATAGAAATCTTGAGAAGGATTTTTAAATAGAAATAAATTTTTTCACAATTTTGCAACAAGGATATATTTAGATTTTAGTATTAAACAAAATAAAAACTCTCCCTTTTTGCATGGTAATTTTTATCCTTGATTTTGTAAACAATATTTATTAGATACATTATATATGCATGAGGTTATTTGGATTTTAATTTAATTTTAACATTTTGATTATTGTAATGAAACGTACACACTGATTGCGAAAGAGTCACGTACAATGTTACTAAATAAAAAGATTAAGTCTTGTTGTGTGTTTTTTTTTTCGAATTTTGCACGATGAAGAGTTTGCATTTGCATTTGCATTGCAAGCCACAAACACGATAAATCAATAGCGTTTAGAAAAACTTGAGAAGGACACTGACAGACTGCTAATGGAATTTAGATTTCGAAAAATCACTTCTAAGTGAATTAACGAATCATGTTTGTTCTCTTAAGGTTGGAGATTGTAGAAGTAAGTCCGTAGTATGTAATACATATTGACGAAAGCGACAGTATTTTGTACGTTTCGTAGAATTAGGGTAAAGGGTAGTACATTACATTGCATGCGATGAACTTTGATGTAGTTCGCGATTATCTCGAAGTCGCATTTTCAATCTCGCTGATTTACGCTGAGATTTTTCAACGTTGTGGAAATCGACGAGGCGAATAAAGGAGGAAGTTTGATACGCGGCTCACGCAGATCGTTTTGTACATGTCTCGCGCTCGGCCTGGCGTAAAATAAGAACAAAAGATATCCGTGCGGGAAACGACATTTCCCTATTTTCTGATCGCAATCGGAAACTCGGCGAAGCGCGGAATTTGTAGCGAGCGTTGCGAAATTTCCTCGAACGCAACGAACCTGCTCTGCGATATTAATGTACGATGGCACTAATGCACACAATAGCAAAGCCAGCGCGAGTCTGTATCTGACAAAACAATTCAGACACGCTGTAAACGTTGTAATTAGCGTGGTTAAACATGATCTTCGCACGTTTATGCGATACATCTATGCTTCTTGTTCGTAATACAGTCCCTCCAACGCCAAAATAGACGCCAAATTACTTCTGTGTTTATACTTGTCAAATGATTCTTAAGCATTTTTGCGGTTTTTCAATGAAACTAGAACTTATTTATTGTTCATTGAACATAGATCGCGTGATTATTTCACTGATAACGAAATACACTTCTTATACCGTCTAATATTCACCTGTTGATTAAGAGTCGAGATCTCTTATCGCTTTATCGCTTGGCCAAAATTTTACAAGAGCAAATTGCGTCGCGAAAAGGCGACTCTGCACTTTTGTTGTAAATTCGACTACGAGATGATCGCACAGTTAAGAGCTAATGCATCGTGCTTCTGCCCTCATTAACATGCATCTCTGGTGCTGTTCAGGCAAGGTGGATGAGAAAGCGACGCAGCTGCACGCGATAGCGTCGCTGAAGGTGCTGCTGGATGCCACCAGGCCGCATAACGGAGCCGCGACGTCGACCGCCGCCCATTACTCCGGCGCATCGAAGGAGACGACACTGCAGCTGCAGCAAGGCTCGCAAGGCACCACCACTACCACCACGACTACGACAACCACTGCCGGCACCACCGCCGGTATTCAGGAACTTCCGAACGGCGGTATTGCCGCCGGTCTCGACGCTGGACTCGATTCGGTAAATATCGAATACACAAGATAGCACGGGCTTTCGGCAGACCACAATTTTCGCGTCGTTGCCGACATTATGATTATCGCCGCTGCTCTCGTATAATGATTTTTTCATATCGCATCTTTCACGATTTTAATACGGTACGGATTTTATAAACGTACATAACGATTTTACAGACGTAACGAGAAGTAACGAAAGACGCTGGTAACGAAAGCTAACATTTGTGTCGTTTTATAAACTCGATCAATATGTCTCCGAGTTAAAAATGAACTTCTAAGCCTCGACTTCTGCGAGCGAAGGAAAGAACCTGTGTGCGGGTGGAAGGATCTGTACGATCCGTTTCGTTATACGGTCTCTACCTCGATTCGAGAGATTGGAATAGTTTCGGCATTTCCCGGCGTGCCGCGTCGTAAAACAAAGAGGCCGGAGAACACGTTGATTGGAATTTGTCGTTCCACTTTTCTTGACAAAACGTTTGATTTGCTGCCGGCGTATCTGTCGTCACATTTCTCTCGTGACTCCGCTCCGAATACTCACTTATTTTTCCGATGATCGCGCAAGAATATTTCAGAGAGAAAAATAACTTCCGACCCGATAAATTAGTACGATAGGCTAATTTTAGGATTAGTACATATAACTACGCGATGGCTGTCGCGTACTTCGGAGCACGCGTTTGCAAAAGGGCACGTTAGTTCGATATCGTAACGTTCTACTTTCCATTGTGAAATGTTTGCTTCTATCACGACTTGGATATCCTGAATTAGAATAGGCAGTTTAATTCCCACAATACTGCGAATCACGCGAAGTAATCCTTTTTAACTTACACGTCGAACGCCGTTATGGATGTAACATTTTACTGCCATATATATATATATATATATATATATATATATATATATTTTGGGGCTTCTTCATTTTATCGTAGACCTTCACTGATATAAAACCAGGACGCGCGATACAACCTTTACTATAAAAGTCTCAATATTTTAATTATTTACAAAGGAAAACTGGAGTTAAAAGAATCAAGATTAAATCAAAATGAATCAATGAAAGTATTTTAAAACAGTAATAAAAGATTTCTAAGTGACGTTACTGTCGCAGTATTCACACAGTTCACGCCAGCTAGATAATGCCGTTTTTCTCATCAATTAGTCACCCTACTGAAACAAAATTTAAAACAATCAATACTCGCTTTCTATTTAGCTGACCAAATATCCGTGCCCATAAACGGTCCGCGGAGCGACAAGGGTGAGTCCCCGGAGTAATCAAAGTTAGCTTTATGCCCCCCCGGAGCCTTGACGCACGAGTGTAAATCGGCAACGGTGTTCATCCATTAAGTCTTATCGGGACAACCGCAATTTTCACCCGCGAACTTGGCGATCATAAATCAGCGCGTCGCTCGATATTTGTCGGCTTCGAACTTTAAAAGTTCACCCAAGGTTATTTCGCCTGCGTTTCGAGATTGGCCGTTGTATGTACGTGCCGCGCCACACATCCGACGCGTCGCGTCCGATACAGGGATGAAATACGTGAAAGCTGCGGCGCATCTTTCGCGGAGAAATCGGATCCTGGCCACGTCGCGGTTCCAATGTGGACCGCACACGCGGTGACACCGGTGTCACACGTCAAAAGAAGAAAAACGAAGGGCGACGGTCAATAAGTTTTTACGAATCGCCCGACACGTTTATTCTCGCGACAAAAAAAAATTTTTTTGTCATCCTCCCTCAGGGTAAGAACAGTTGTCGAGCACAGTAAGAAGGATAAAAAGAAACGCAACGAGCGATATTGCTCGTCTGAATCCCCCCCCCCCCCATTGCTCGTCCGATGATATCGCGATAGAATTCTACCCATCTCCTGACGCGCGGACGGAGATAAATATTCAATAATTCTTCCCCGAGACGGCACGTCGCGATAGGAACGCGTATATTCGAAGGCTCCTCATTTCCCATCGCGCTGGCAACTTCGACGAACCGTTTTATCGCCGCCAATCTCTCGCAGTCTTTGAAGGATCTTAAAGTGGCATCGCAAATTACGGATCCGAGACAGCGCGGATGAATATAGGAGTCCCATTTTTAAGTCCGCTTAACATTTCGCTTACATAAATACATACACAAATACTAGATCGATTTTTAATTATACGATGCCAAATATATAAATTTTCGCTAAAGCGAATAATTATAGTAGAATACACACACGGTGATTTTTGCACCAATTAAAAAAGGATTGTCTCGGGGACGGGTGGTCGAAGAACGATTCGGTAGTCGCCGCAAACAAATTGCCCGTGCCGTGCACGACCCTCGGGTTTAAATCGATAGTTTGCGTCGTGTCATTTTCTTGCGTCAAACATTCGAGCTTTTATCGCCGCATTAACATTTATCTATACCGCGCGAGATACTCGCTTAAAAAATGCATCGCATGTAAGCGCGGCACGTTTCCCGTATCAAATCTTGTCCGACATCGCCCTTCGCTTTTTACGATTCTTCGACTAAGATCAACTCTGAGGCAAATCTGATTGAATCAGCCACGAGCTTCCGTTAAAAAGATACGTCGCAATTTTCAGTACCCAATTCTATTTTAACGCTTTCTGTAATGTTACATGATCGTGCCGTAAAAAAGAGATATGAATTATGTGACCCGTGTATAAAAATACATTTTTCTGCATTATTAAGTAGTAAATTTTCAATTAAATTTTTTAATAAAAAAAAATGATGTAACTTTAATCATTTTTTTTTATATTAACGATAATCAATTGGCATTTCTTAATTAAAAGCTTAATCACACGGTATGTTGTCGAATATATGTGATCGAACGTGTTTGCGGAAAAAAACCGCTTTTATATATGAAATTTATTTGAAAATTGGATGGAAAATATAGAGCATGATGCTTTTGACTAGCATAGTAAATAAAAAAGATTTAGACTACTAATTCGTACCGGTAGGTACGTCACTTAACGTTTAGTTAATCATGTAAAAGAGATTCCGCGCTTTTACCGGAAACGCTTTCGCAACAATCGCCGCGATATAAAAGAACTCTTGTTTGATCGTTCTTTGCTCTGATCGTCCACATGATGACGCAAAGAGAGACGCAGAGAGAATAACGAAGTTTCCCCGCAAGCGGGTGCATAATCGTTGTTGCAATTCGGAGAGCTGTTCTGCGGAAATATAAATCGGAACTTGACTATCCGGAGTTCTCTCGAGGATATTAGCCGGCGCCGACTGGTATCGTGGCGCGTGGACGGAGCGGCGAGTAGTCTCAGGCGGCTTTGTCCTAAATGAGCGGAGAGAGGGCCTTTTCATTTTGAATGCATCGGGAGAGAATCTGGGTCAATGCTGCATCCCACCCGTCCATTGCGCGTTTGCAGCCCCGCGCGCGCCGCGCCGCGCTTCCCGCACGGATAATCGAAGCAAAGTCACCAACCCTACAGTTTTCCACGCGAGACGAGAGTTTGTGCGAATTTGTGGGAACGGACGGGATGCGCGCCCGGAAAAGCTCGCGCGCGCGAGATGATTCAGTTCAGCAAGTAGCCTCGTTAAGTTCACAGGAGAGTGACGAGATTGGAGATTAATGGTCCCCGAGGATGTTAAGCGAGACAGAGAGAGGATTCCAGCCCTTTTATTTTATCTCTCTGAAAATTTCGCAACTGTGTGAAAGCGCCTGAATTTTATCTCAATTTGCCATTCAACATTTGTAATATAAGTCGTCGCTCACGGCGGCGTAATTTATTTCCTTCGATATACGGATTATTCAGTTGTAAACATTATAGGCTCAAATCTCGCACATTTAACTCGAGCGACGATCCTCTTTCTCTTTAGCAAACATCGTCCTTTAATGTTGATCCCCGCTAATGTACAAACATTCAAAACGGGGATTAGTCCAGTGTACAAGGAACTACGTTTATTTCATTCTTGAATGTGAGCGTGCTGAGAATGATGATACTTTACAAATATAAGCTTTGTGGCATACTGTGGTTTGTTGGAGACCAAACAAAACAACAGAAAGATACTTTGTGCCTTTAACAATCAACTCGTTTAGAGTTTTATTAAGAAGATTTTTATTACATTCTTTAATAATGCATATAAACGTATTATTTCCATTCTTCAGAATAACAATGAATGTTGCGTCCATAAGTACCAATTAAATAAATTTGATCTATGCAATAGCATATTTTTACGTAGTGAAAAATCCTATTCCTTTTTCACTACGCTATTGATGGCAACCATCAATAGACTAATTAATAAATATCTTCTTCTATCAAGCACATCTTTATTTATCAAGTTTATCTCAATATCTTTATTTTACATTTTGTCCCTTCTCTTCCACATATAATATGTTGGCAATTTACAAAAAAATAAATAATAAAATTGAAAAATTTTAAATAAAATTTAAATTTTATATCAACTTTTTTAAAAACTAAATTATTTTAATAAACAATGAAAAATTTTTTAATTTTAATCTTTGCTTGAATTTTTTAAATAATATCTGCAAATTTTTCTGCTTGTAATAAAAAAGTATTATGTTCCTGAATTGATGCCTTTATTAAAATGACGCTCGGCAGGACAGATCTCCTCCGCCTCTCTCTTATTGTGCTACTGGCTCTACGAATACTTTAGATAGTTTAGATTAAAATATTAAATGATGAAAAATATGATTTCAAAAGAAATTTATTTGTTTAAATATTTGTTCACAGGGCGAAGAGGATGAACCTCCAGAGGCCTTGAACATGGGCTGGCCAAGCAGTCCAAGAAAAAGGCTAACTTACATTTTAGTCGCGCCAATCTTATTTCCTCTTTGGTTAACGTTACCGGATACGAGAACACCTAGAGGTAATCAATAATCGTCTTTCTATACTCATATAGGTTCAAGCAACCTATAATAAATCATTTTTCATTAACGTGAACATCTTTCGATTTTTAATGTTTAATGTTATCTTTTCCAGTTGTAATAGTTTGTATTATATATGTATATATATATATATATATATATAAAAGACTAAGAAAAAGATATATAATTATATAATTTATAATTTTACGAAATTAAAAATAATATAGTCAAAAAGGTATATTAAATATCTATATAAAGAATAATATAATAACTTTGAAAATCAAGTAAAGCACTAAATTTTCTCAGCCATTTGATCGATGGGGAAGCGGCCGAATATTTGCACCATCACCAATGCTTCATCCGATGGCCTTCTCTTTCAATGTTTTCACTGTTGACTATTCGGATAGTAATATTAGGTTTCTCTGCACTGACGGATAATCGGTCTTGAATAGAGGCAAAATGAAAACTGGAGCAAAGACAAAAGCAAGACCTTTTGTTAAGCGCAAGAACGATTAAGCAGTTTCATTTACATATCTTGCATCTATTGCGAGACCTAAACTCCTTTCTCCTTGAAAAGTCAATTAGGATATTTATGAAACGAACATATAAGTCTTCAAGGACGGGGAATTTAATTTATCAAAGGTGTTTTTAATCGGTGTAAATACGTCTATGAACTTGCAGCAAGGGCTTAGCGTCTTTCGCATTGCGTCTCTGTCTTTATTTCGCTCTTGCGCTCTTTATCTCTTATTCCTTGATAATGAGACGGTGATATTAAGACGTTGGTAATATATCAAGATAATTTCCACTCCAATTTCATAACTCGTTAATATTAAAGGAGAATATATATTCACGTGTATCCTCCCCATTCGCGCTTGGCTGCAATAAATTGTGAACCGCAATAGATATCCGATCTGCGCATAAAATCGGTGGGCTCCAAGAATCTCACGCGATACCGAGAACATTCAATATTACATTTTATACTTGATTATATACGTATATCATTAATTGCACATGTATACCTAATAGCCTCGCTTTGCTAATAGAAACGTGAATGACGATTTATTTATCGTTCGCCGAAAATATTACCTGAATAGACGGAGGAGGTGCAGAGAAGCGTTTCAAATGCGCCATTAATTACCGACCGAAAAAAAAAACTCTAGGCCAGCGTACTTTTTCTTCTAGCCCGCCGAAAACGTCGAGATCAGATTAAATCCTATCAATCAGCGTGAACGTCGCGCGATGTTTTGCCGTTGCCTGGTATCGACCCCGTGGTAATATTAACTCAACTCTCCGGGAATTCGGGATTCCGAGCCATCGATTTCGTCAAGGAAACCTCACCTCATCAACACAAGGGACTAATTAAACGGCACTTACAGTTAACTTGTCGCATGAATTTGCGTTTTACTCACAATCAGCTTACACTTTCTTATCATTTTCTGACGTATAGCGGCATTTTGTTAAAGAGCAGAAGAAGAAGAGATAAAACTTTTTTTTTGTCGAAACCCCCTCGCGACGAGAACGTCGATGGCGGGTTATTCGCGGAAGATATTATGATGGCACCAATTCGGTCGTTCAGCGGGAGAAGCGGGTACGCGAGCGTGTCTATATCGGTTTCGGTATGTGCCGCATATCGATTTAATAATAAATGTTAAGATCAAGCCTGCAGGAGCGGCACACACGTTGCCGCTGTTATTCAAGCCGCCATTTATCACGCGTCTACCTGCATTATCTCAGCCCTATTAACGCGTCTCTATCGCGATATTGCACAATACGACGAAAGATGATATTGACACGCTAATTTCGCATTGGGGACTGATTGTTGCATACGTACAAACGCATAGATGGCCGTACGTACGCGCGCGGTAGCTGATTCCATTGTCAGCTAAAATTCCGATATGTCCTTTGAATTTCAGCAATCTCGGCCTTTGATTACAGATCTATTAATATGAATGTTATTACAATCAATTATTATGAGATTATACGCATCATGAAACACGTAAGCAAATAAAAAATTGTTGAATTATTTGTTTATTAATTTTTATATGAAAAGTTTGCATTCTTCAGTCAAATCAAGACATTCTTTTTTATATAATCATCGACCAATTTTCCTGATTTTTGAGTTTATAAAGCATTACGTGAAACTATCGCTATTGATGCATCAATACTTTAGTACGACTCATAAAAAAAATAATAAATATTCGCTAAGATTTAACGAGAGAATGCTACTACTTTCATACCAAATTAAGATTTATTTTCGTGGTGTAACTCTTTCCTCGAATAATTAAAACTGTCCCGGTTAAACTTAATTAATCTCACTTAAATTAAGCAAATTAATTATCGCATAGCTCTTTCATTGTGTGCCTCCATTTATCCAGATTAATAAAATTAATACGAGAAATAATTAATAAAGGAGAAAACCTGTGTTTTGTGTCTATTTATTTTGCTGTAAAGACTATCACAATTATAAGGAGAAATTAGTTTTGACAACAGCTACCAAAAAAAGTTTGTTACACTTATTGTTAGAGCAAAAAATTAAATTATCTACACGATATACATATATTCAATTTCTCTGAAAATTATTCAGAGCGAAATTTTTTTCGTCGCTCTCAAATTAAATCCTCGAAATTCGGTCATTAGGATTAGATTACGAGACGGATTAGATATCTCGAACTTCGTTCTCGTCATTGTAGCGTTAAAACATGTAAACGCGGCATTAAAGTTTGCGAACTGACGGTTCTTATTGGCTGGGAACGATTTTGCCTATCGTTACATCCGCTAAGAAAAGATGCGATATTAGAAATTTAATGATCAGCTTTATTTTTAACAATTTGCTATCAACTGCAGAGTTACGCCACTAAATTACTAGAATAATTATCGTTTAATTACATCTTGATACTTCCATTTAAATTCTTGTCAGATACGTTTAATTTCAAAAAAATCCTTTTTTTTTTTTTATTAAAGTATTTATTTTACATTCTCATCTACTCTATCGTATCTAACGCGGACTATTTTTCGTACTGCATATTCTAGTCAGCCAATGTTTTACAATGATATCAGAATGGTAATCGACCAAACACACTTAGCATACTTAAACTACTCCCGTTAATGGAAACTACAACCGAATAGAACACAGGCGCCACGTGGCCGACTGCATAATTCCGAGCGAAGGAACATCCCGCGCTATCGCAGACCCTGGTGTTATCTTTAAGATTCGATTCCCGTGGGAAAAAAATTGCTGTAAAGTGTCAACTTCCGACGTTAACGTTGCCTCCCTTCCCCCCCCCTCCCCCCGACGACTAATCAACGATTAATCTATAATCTAGTCGTCATAGGATCCGCAGGGAATGTGTAACAGATGCCACGCATCCACGCGCTTAATTACAGGGAAGAAGTTCTTCCCGATAACGTTCATCGGCTCGATCTTCTGGATCGCGGCGTACTCGTACCTGATGGTCTGGTGGGCGAATGTCGCCGGCGACACGGTGGCCATACCGCCGGAAGTGATGGGCCTGACGTTCCTCGCAGCTGGCACCAGCATACCGGACCTCATCACGAGCGTCATCGTGGCGCGAAAGGGATACGGCGACATGGCCGTGTCGAGTTCCGTCGGCAGTAACATCTTCGACGTGACCGTTGGGTGAGCATCCAAATTTCTTTTAGAAATTTTTCCGCGTTACAACGAGACGTCTTGTATCGTATATGAATTTTGACATCGCGTTTCGCTCTAGAATATCTCGGAAAATTCGATTACTTTATTCATTTTATTAAACTTGTTTAGTTTTATTATAGAATTATCATTTAATAATGAAATATTGTATATTAAAATACTTTGCGCGAACTGCAGTACTTCAATCATTCAAGAATATTCGATTCTCTCATTATTCTTTCTATTTTGTTTTACATACATTATTGTTCAAATATTAATAATCTCTGAAAATCTCTGAAATCTCTGACGTACTGAAATATTTTATGACGAATTGATTTGAGAAAATAGAAAGATTTAACTGCACGTTTATGAAAGTTTATATTTTGAAAGTGAAAGTAAAATATTTTTGAAAATGCAGTTAAAATGAAGAGTATGACCCTAGGAATTTGATTATATATAATATTTGAAATATGATAGAATAAAATTTTAGACGGAAAATAAATGTGTAAAAATTGGCAAAAAGTTGTACTATTATATTTTTATTTTAGAGATCTCGCAGCAACGTGTATTTCTTATTGATTCTGCATATGAATAAATTTATAATATATTTTGATATAAGTATAAATATACGAATATAGGATCGCTAAATTTGAAATAGATAAAAAGAAAGATACTAGAAAGTCTCTAGAATTCAAACCATATCATATTGATTTTCCGAAATTATGTCAAACTTCGAAGAAAAATAAAAAAGTTTAGAATGTAGATTAATATTTATAAATTGAACGATGTAGGTAACAGTGTAAAGAAAATGCAAAGATATGTATATATTCCTGACATTCGAATATTTTTATATTAATATTTGTGTGTAGGAAAAATTAAAGCAAAGTGAATAACACGGCACGAATAATAAAAGGGGAAACAAAAGGAAAGCAAGAAGATATCAACCTAAATTATTTAAAATGTTATACTTCGATATTTCCATACTTTGATACATTCCGATATTGTTGTTAAAACATCAACGTTATGATTCGGTCTGACATTTGATCAGGGAACTTTTGACTTTTCTGAAATGTGAAATACGAGTACATCATTTAAGCGGAGGGAAGTGGTTTCAATAACACAAAAATATTTTATCTCTTTTGTTGTATATGCGAAATATATTTTCTACATATAACGTGAGCGTGGGCATTCAAGTCAATTAATATTGTTTTTCGTCAAATTACTCAAAATTTTTTAAAATTTGTCATAAATTGAAATTTTTTTTTTTAATATTCAGAATTCCCCGAATTCTAGGTGTGGAATTTCACACTCACAGAAAAGCTCTAGTAAGGTATGGAAAGCTCCATACCCTCTATAAGGATGTCTCCGTTCCTGCATTTGATTAATCTCAATAAATTGTATTAAAGTTATTATCTCTAATCGTAATTGATTAATATCGTATAATTAAGTTGTATTTTTAAAATACGCAAGGTGTAAATATTTATCCAGTAAAAACTTGTAATATTCTGCAAGGTGTAAATATTTATCCAGTAAAAACTCACAATATTCTGCAAGAGTTGTACGTGAAGATTTTTCAAAAACTTTTCCTGTGCCGCGAGAGAGCGAAACAGTGTAAGATATTAAAACAGTGTGTTGCAACTAAGAAATTTAATACATCCCTGAAAGCGTCCGTAGCTTTCTCTGTTTTTGAACCCGAAACCTATTTACGTCGTACTATATCGAAGGATCGATTAACGAAAAGGGCCAGGTGCCAAAGAGGCCGGGAAGCCTATTCGGGAAGGGATATCAATCTCAAATTTCGGTAACGTTAATCGAGCGGAAAGAGGAAAATAGTATGTCAGGATAACATTTAACACGGCAAAAAATATCGGTTGACTTGCATTGTAAGAATATCGAGATTTCCATTTTAATAAAAGTAAAAGATATTTCGTTTTCTATTTAATCCTTTCCACTCTGACGTTGTCTAAATGCTTATCTAAAAAAGGAGGTTTATTTATTTAATTGAATGCTCGATCAATTCCGTCATTTCCCATTTATTTTCGCTTCCGTTTACGATACGTGAGAAGCGTTTATCATAATATTGTAATATTCTGCTTACATTGGCTGGTGGAAGAAACGATGCTATTGTAATTCATATTATGCACTCAAGAACGTATGCACAGCCAATGGTTGGCACAGTTATACCGATGTTGCACTGAATAGAATAGTATTTAGCTTACCTTGAAATATGCAGTTGCTTTGAAGACACATGCATTTCTGATTTGAGTCATTAGATATATAATTGGGTGTCATTTACCAACGTGGACTATTAACTGCTGTTGACGTAAATTAATTCAAGTTAAATACTGCATATCTTTGACATTTAAACTTCAATATTTTACATATAATTATATATTGAATTCTCATCTAACGTCACATTTTAAAAAGAGTCAAATTTTATCAATTTATTAGAAAAAGTCTATTGTTATTTGTTCTCCGGTTAAGTTCTTTAATTGTATTGTCATAATCCCTCTGAAAATTTAGACACAATATTGTGCATTCTGAGAACAAAGCTTCCCCATTCCAGTAATTTAGAAAATTCATATCCATTCCTGCAGAACGCATTATATTATTTCACAATTCTTGCATTCTTGCTAGTATTAAAGCATTTGCAAACAACTTTTTCTGATACCTTTTTTGGTCACTGTCAACGTCGCTGACGAGATCTTCCGGAAATTGATTGACAGTTGGAACAATTATGGCACATAAGATATCAACGGTACAGTGAAGTTCAATAGACGAATCGAACAATAACGGAATTATTGGGCTCTCTCGCACGTGCACGAATACAATGGACTTAATTGTGTAATATACATACATATACACACGGTTCGCATTATACCAACGTCAATATCCTCATACAAATTTCATCTATATTATATCATACGTACACATATATTCTCTCTTTCTCATAATATACGCTCGCGCGTGCGATACGAATCGGAATTTTGCTGACGATCGAACGGAGTTAGAAGAGGCGTGCGGAATTGGTGGCCGGACCGAGCCCGTCAAGGCATTCTCGCTATTTCACTGTAATCGCATTCGCTAGTCATTCCTCGGCATTATTATATTGTTGGCGCGGGAAATGCCGCGAATACTGTTCCAGACGCCAAGACTCATTTCCCGCGGAAAGGTCTCGAGAATCTCTACTGCGCGGAATCTCGACTCCCGTCTCACCGCAAGGTTTCCATTTTTTTTTCTTATTTAATAAAAACGCGCAATTATTTCGTCGCGGTTGTTCCACATTCGCATTGCGCGAGTCCGAGCTCCGAATCGGCGGTAAAAGTTTATCAATTTTCAAGCTCGCTAATTCGGTGTCCCGCATGCTTTGCATATTCGTACTCTTTGCTTATACATATAAAGGTCTCGCCACAGATAACGCAAATCTCGATTTCCAAAATAATGTCACTGACAAAAATTAAATGTAACAAAGTTATTTTGAAACTTCAATTTTCAAACTCCCGATTTTTATTCGTGATACGTTTTGCAAGCGATCTTTAGCAGAAGGATATTGGCGACAGCGACTATTGACTGTCGCTAATAAGAATTAATTATCCTTCTTCACTCTGTTTTCACGGCTAAGATTCAATTTTTCGAAGATGATCGCTGATCTCTTTGTGACACTCGATTTCCTGGCAATTGCACGCCGCCGCGACGAAACATCAGATCTTTCTTGTCGATGATCAATCATGTAGCCACGCATCCGCTGACCGATTGCCAGCTGGCGGACTGCCTGAGAGGGAAGCCGAGAAATATTTCTTTGCATTTGTGTGCTCTGCGTTTGTGATTGCACGTCAAACGATATATATCCAAGACACGTCGACAGCATTGTTACAGACGAATGTGAATTATAGATACTGTACTTCAAATAATATATAGAGCAGCGCAACAGCCACCTACACGCGCGTGCACACACGCATATACGTTTTGTATTTGATCGATACAGTGAATGATCCGGTCGCACGTGCAATCATAAAACCGTAATGCTCTAATAGAGTTTATAATGCGAGAGAAATGTAAATGTATACCAACGGGAAATTTTATCGAAAGCCTGTGATGCTACATTTCGCGACTCTATCTCTCGGAAACTATTCCGAATTGGATACTCATATGAACCTTTTTCTTCATCGCGATCGATATTATCACTTCTCACATCATTAATCCTCCCTCCTGAATTATCCTGCATGTGTTAGGATATTATAAAAATGAATATATTAATATAATAATATTAATATATTAATATAATAATATCAATATAATAATATGAATATATTAATATAATAATATTAATTTAGAAATCTTTAAGTCGCAACCCAGCAAACACAGATTTATAACTACGGTATTTCAACAACAATGTAATATTTCTGCAACATGTATAACTGGAATGTTACAATGTTGCTGCAACATTGCAGTTATAATCTGTGTTTGCTGGGAAGTTTAATATGACAAATATTTATAATAAAAGATTTAATTTAAAACATTACGAGATTAATATATAGTTCTTGATAACCGAAATATTAATTGCACAAAAATTCCCACGTTACTGCAGTTGTTACAAACTTGTTGTTGGAACACTTATTCTTTATATTTAAAAAGTACATAATTTCTGTACAAGGAGATAAAGAGAAGAGAATCAAACGGTCGGAATATAGAATGGCTTAATTGTATTTGCATCGGCATATAGAAGCAGGGCACATTGAAAATGGGCTCGATTTGCGCTTTGATTCTGCCCGCAGGCTTCCGGTTCCATGGCTAATATACGGTTTAATCTACGGGAAACCCGTGGAAGTGAACTCGGTGGGCATGGTGTGCAGCATAGCGATACTGTTCTGCATGCTGCTGTTCGTGATCATGAGCATCGCCTGCTTCAGATGGAAAATGAACAGGGGCCTCGGCTTCACGATGTTCATCCTCTATTTCGTCTTCGTCGCCGTCTCGCTGATGTTCGAGTACGAGATACTGGTCTGCCCGGTGTAGGGGCAGCCAGGGCAGCGCAGCCGCGGCAGCAGAGGTATTAAAAACTTCCTTTCGAGGAGGAAGGAATATACGTCTGCGAAACGGACGCACACTTACGGGTCTCGTCATCATCATCGTCATCGTCGTCGGCGAGTCTCGGCCGACGAGAGAAAACTCTTCCCCGCGGTCGCCGCTTCGAGCCGAGGAGGAAACCGCAGCCAGTTTCATTACCTTCCGCGCGCGCGTGAAGGGGACTTGAACAGTACGAAACGGCAATATAGCAGCACCATAAACACCGCCACTATCACCGATCATCGAGTCTCACAGCAACTTCGCGTATATCGGATTACGAGACATTTTGCTCTAGTCGCGAGAGGTGTACATAATGTATAAAAATCTTGAAATACCTGAAACGAAATACTCGTCTTGTTAAGGATTAACCGAGCGCGCCACTCCGCTCGAGTGCGCTACTTTATTATTTAAGCATGGCGAGCGCGTTAGCCGATCGTGCCAAGGACCAAACTATAATTTTACGTAATCCTTGGAAGGATTTTTTGGCACAAACTTTCGAGACTCCCCCTGATGGTCTCCTTCTTTTTCCCCTTCTTCATTTTTTCTTCATTCTCATCCTACTTCTTGTTACTCAATAAACGGCACTGTACGTGAAACAAATTGATTGCAGTACCTATATCGTTAATAATTATTAACTGGAAATTGTTACAATAAAAGTTTACAGAACGCCACTCTATATATTCAACAATGGTCCGTAAGGACATTTAATTAATTAGAATCATGGATATCGTCAGATATCGCTTGATTCATTTATCGAAACATCACGTTTATCGAATATACCTATAATAGCAATAATATTAGACTTAAAACACGATGTTACCAGTGTACAAAAGGTGTTACCGTTAGGTCTTCTCGTTTGACTCCTTGGCACGCTCACGTCCGAATATTACACATAACGTTATCTACTAGAAGAAGTGACCTGACCGCTCGCCGATTTTTTCTCTAAAGCAGAAATTCTCTTCGCCTCTAATATCGTAGAATAGTGTTATTTAACTTCTCACTCTGTTGTACTCACGGAATCCAATCTGATGCGGTGCGGTGTTCGGCGTTCCGTTTTGACGACGAAACGGCGCTCGTGAATCTCGAGTGCGACATACACCAGGTGCACATTTCAGGCAAGTCATATAACTTTTGTATATTTTCGTTAACCAAAGTTGCTTACGGTATGCTACAATATACTACGATATACCGTGTGCGATACATTATGCGAGAAACTTTTGCTGTAAATGCAGAATATGCTTTATTTCTTTGCCGCGTTTTATTTTCCGATTTAACAATATCGCATATTATTTTCAGAAATTAAAATAAAAGCGTGTTTGACTGTGTTTAATAAAATAATGTGTATTACATTATTTTATTAAATGTTCGACATTCGTGAAATTACGTGAAAAGCTTATTGAAAAAGTCTTCAAATATTGACGTATTAAATTGATGTAATTTAAATAATGGCAATCGCGTCTCAAACGAAACGACTGATCGTCGCACCGGATTTTCAGCGTACAATCGGAACGGATGTTGCTGTTGATACGTGAATAAGATAGAATAACGATAAAAATGTGAGACATTGATCCCGGGTATCAGTTAATCTGTTTGCTGCTTATATTTCGCTTTACTTTTGTTTCGAACGATAAATCGCTGATGACAGATTCACAGGGAACGTGAGAAACGACCAAGTTGGTTTTTTCAAACCAAAAGAAAATGCGTTCATCAATGTGTAACGTTAATTTAGCAAAATTGAAGGCAATCGCTTATTTTATAAGCAATTTATCCGTTCAATTTGAAAAATAAGCGCGTTTTCGGTCAGTGAAATTTCCATCCTTAAATATTGTTTAGGAAATTTATAATATATTTTCGCGAAAAACTGCGAAAACAGAAACCTTGGCAAATTTATTTATTGCTGGTAAGCGTAAAGTTAATTCGCAAGTACAAGAAAACGTCTCGTTCGCGTAAGACATTTAGATCCGATTCCGAGCGTGTTTTCTCTTAAATACAATTATTACTACTACCGTAACTATAATCTGTAAGCGACATGCAAAAAGCAGACTTTCTTAAGTGCATAGAGAAAAAAAATTGTTGCAAATCGTATAATATTTAAATTGGTGCATCATGCGAAGATTCTAAGGATCACTCGAGAGCACTCGTGTCGCTTACTGATGCATCTTACGCGCGATCGAATCCTCGTGCGATATTTTCTCTGCATAGGAAAAGTATCGAGATACACTGCAGATATTTGCACGTGAAATGTAATATTATTACGATACGCTCTTACGAAGCGAAAGAAACAGACAAATGTCGAGCCGTTTAGACATTGCAGCACTTTCCGTGATGTTCCACATCAGCTTGATATACTCTCCGAGCAGTTATTTTTTTGCTAAACTTCTTTCAAGTTTTTCGACATTGCACTATGACACTCTACTAAGATTACTACTGTTAGAAAAATATTATTATTATTATGGTTGTTACATGTACACAGTGAAGATAAACGGGTAATAGAATGAACAAGTTCATGCAGGTGTGTATGTGTATGTGAGATTGGGAGAGAGAGAGAGAGAGAGAGAGAGAGAGAGAGAGACAGAGAAAGAGGACGAGAAAAAGAGAGAGAAACGATAGAATTAAAAAGATAGAGAGGAAGGGAGGAAGAAATAGGAACGTGTATAGTCGACGTATGACAAGAATGGGCGATTTTTAATCCAGATTACCAGGGCCCGTGTTGTATAAAGCGTTTGTAAAGGATACGTTATAAGGATAGTGGTAATAGTTATAATGTGATATCGATTATATTACATGTCTGAGGATGAGAGCAAAATGTTATTATACATACCTACACAGTTTGAGAGAGATACAAACAGAGAAATAATATTACACTTTCGGTAGTCTGAACGCCTAAAAGCGGCCTAGCTTTTTATTAAGCCCACAGCTGATGCAAAAAATTCAATCCATATGAAGGAAAAGACCATAATTATATAAAAGTACCGTCTACGTTAATCGGTAGAGCGAATTTTAGATTATCAAAATCACACGTATATACATAATAGAGTGAATAATAGAGAGAGAAAGAGAGAGAGAGAGAGAATGTGTGTGCGTGTTTGTGTGTCTCTATGTATGTGTGAAAATTCGGCAATGAAACATATACGGAGAATATATTAATTATATTATATATACATTTAACGTTACATTTGTCGTATTTTTTTATGTACGATCCCGACGTTAGAAGCAGGAAGGATGATTTTTTTCGATCTCGCAGCTTACGTTCCGGCGTTTGCGCCGTGCATAACGCGCGTGTGACAATTATTACGTTTAGCCTTCCGACGCTATGTCTATCTGTCTCTGATCTGCCCAAATCATAAGCTGTGCAATCCGGCTCATGCGCTCGATTATTCAAGAAATTTCGTACTCCGCGATGCTTCGATCCCTCACGCAACGAAAAGCGCCGTGAGCCTTCTGTGCCCGGAAACAGAGAGCGGCTAAAGTAGACCGATGATCCGTTAATGATATCAAGGTCGAGAGACGAAGGAAAAATATCGCGAACAGCTTTCTGTTGGACGTTTATTTTCTTTTGCGCGATACGTAACCGGTTATAGGCGACAAAGGACGGTTTAACTACAACGTTAAATTCTGAAGAGATAGTGCAGATAATTTGCAGTTATTCACTAATGCAAACCATTATAGTTACCATTGCGGACGTGAAAACAAGCGATAAATAGCAGCAATCTTAGCAACAATGCGATCTTCTCGAATTATGGACCACTACTTAAGATAGCGATGCCTCTTTTTGCGAAAGACTCTCAGCATTATGTTAAAGTTACAAGAATTTTGCCTGCATGGCAAAATACACACGTACACACACAAAATATTCTCTCTGCCAATTAATTCTTAAAAAAAAACTTTATTATTTTTATTTTTATGTAATTTCATTCTTCCCAATGTAAAAGCTATTTTAAAATTTTTACTTATAAGTAAATTTATAATTTTACATTAAATTTCTATCCAATGAGTAAACTGTAACTTAAAAGTATCGTGGAAAAAAAGAAGGCACCGTTCTCGAGTAGTTTAAACAAACTTTGAAGCAGATGTGATTAAACTCTGTAAATGAAAATTATATAGGTCAGAAGCGGACGAATGAATATTAGCTCGGCAATCTGACAAAAATCGTACGTGATAACTCGTGGCAGGCCGCCCTCGGATTTAACAACGATCGCCAGTGGAAAACAACGTTAGGTTTCTTCGTGACGTTGAACATAAACGGGGAAATGTGTATAGCGGGGGAAACGCCGGAGAACTCAGTACCGAGGCATTTTACGCCGTAGTGTGCAGGGCACGAAAAGGATTAGTCTGTCAGTCGGGCGAAACAACGAAGGCGGATTAGCGGCGAATCGCGTGATAAGTCGAAGGTCGGACCGGAGGGCTCGAAGCGCAGCGGTGCTCGCGTAATTTATGCTATGTAATATACCGTAGGACAAACATCATCGACGTTGGTTAGGTGGGACAGCTCGTTTCGGTTTCGAATGTCGAGCATCTCGACTTGAGGGATCAATCTGCCTGGATATAAATGATACGCGTGTGATAAACGATCTCTTGACCGGCAATGTTACCTATATAGCTCCCCCAAAAAGGCAGGACGAAGAAGTTTCCCATGTACATGGAATGCCGTTAATCGCGATACTTTAGCCGCGACTGCGAGAATCAGTTGCATATGAAACGTGTACTATATTAGTACATACACAATAAGGGCGATCCTCGCGTTGTCAAATCCCAAGCAGAATAATAAGTCATCATGATATCAAAATGACTCCAAAATGAATTTAAAAAAGTCACTTTTCGATCAATCACAATTCATTTTAAGGTCATTTTGATGTTATCAACTGACCTGCTGTCCCGTTTGGGGTCAGACACACACCATGCAGTATGCACGTATATTCGCGTACAGCATGAAGGTAGTGAGAGAGAAAGAAAGAGAGAGATAGGGAGAGAAAAATAGACTTTATTTCTCTCTCACGCATGCATACACGCACATACACGTGTAAACTTTATGTTCGAGATATAAACGTGAGATGAGGTGTATTTGCGAAAGATGAAAATTGTCCCGGTTTGTCTAACAATAAGTTTATTAAAATGCAACGTATCGATGGAACTCTTCGCTATTACGATTCAGGTTCACGGCAAAGAACGACAACGGAACAAGCTCCCACCGGTTAGTATATATTCAACCCGAAACAGTATAATTGATAACCGATAGACCTTTCTTAATTGAGAGCGTCGTTAAAGCTTTCTGGGAGTACAATTATCTTTTTATATTTACGAACGCTTTATTTCCAAACGTGGCTTTCGAAACTTTATTCGCGTAGTAAAAAAATAAACTTATTGTTATAATATATACATACGTATATACACATATATATAGAATCCGTTAACTCTTTTATATTTTTATGTGGATGCAATACGTTGTACTGTTTAGAGTTGATGGTAGTTGTTATCTTACGGATACGGAAACCCGTCGCGCGCTCGTAAGGACGCTCCAAACTTTAGACTTTAAGCGACGTTAAGGATTTAGTTGGTTTCATACTTTGTAACGTAGCTTTCGAGAAAACGTAGAGGAATTTTTACATCGTGACACAAGGTCGGTAGATTAGAGCCGGGCACGCGACGTAGCCGATCGAAACGATCCTTCAAATTTTCGGTGAGTTGTTGCAGAGGCCGAGTGACAAATTCGTTCTCAGCATCGATCGATCGTGTATACTAAGAGCGTCACTACTCTTTCGGCCCGACGGCACGATATATAATCGTTACGACATACTCGTGGATATAAAATAACGCGGGGATAGTGGAATGTAGAAAAAAGGGACACAAAAAAACGCACGCTGTGAAAGATCGAACGCTTCGAATATTTTCTTGGCATTGACAAAGCGCGAACGCACATATCAAAGAGAGAAAAAAAATGTTGAATATATATAATAACTGATTAATTAATTAGTAGTATTATTAGCGACTTAAGTCTCGTAAGGTAATTAGATGAGGCTATACGAGCGTTATAAAGTTTCTATATAATTACAGATTATATAAATATTGTATTATATATTGTTCGAGTATAAGCTGGATCGTCGGCCGATTATTGAATTATGTATGTATAGGAGCGGCGAGGATGTTGGTATAAACTTTCGCCGAATTCTGGGCGATCAGCGTGTTGGACATAACGTTAAAATTCGGGATTATCTCGCATTTTTTCTCGTGCTTTTCTTTTGATATATATTTCATTATATTGCCATTCTTAAAGCGTCGCATACATATAGGGTTGTACCCCCGTCCATCACCGCAGTAGTAGATTTACGGGATACGACGCGTAGTTTAAATCACGACTTACGAGATTAATTAGATCACCGCAGAGTGCTAGAAAAAAAAACGACAGACGCGAAACGAGGAGAAATATAAATATATACATATACACATAATATATTATACATATATATAAATATATAAATATATAAATACGCAAGATATATAAATATGTAAAGTATCTAACGTTGTATACGTTTCAAGTCGACGATTCCAAGATGAGACATTTTTATTACGATAAACAATTTCGTTTCTTGATGTTCGTATAAGGATACGTCTTCGACGCGTTACTTAGACCGGGGCCGCGGCATAATCGATCGTTTTATGCATGACGAGCGTACAACGATATTCGCACGATATACACGGCAGCTAAGTTCGCCGCTCAGGCGATTAATGTAAAGGTGGAAAAATAATTTTCCCGACTGAGAGACAAGGACCGAACAAGCGCATCAACGACCACGTTCCAAAGTTCGCGCGGGACGAATCTCAGCTTACAAAATTATAGAGATCGCGTAACCGATTGCGAGTTTTAACGTAACGGAACTAAACGCATGCATAAAATCATAGTTATGATAAAAAAAAGCACCCTCAAAAAAAAGAAGGAAGCTCGAAAAAAACGCGCTGATGTTAAACAGGTAGCCTGTGGGGGTCAGTGTCGGGAGTTCAGGCCGGGCTTCGCCACTCGTGCGTCAAATGCTCGAATTATACGTGACGCTCGGAGTCGGGATCCGAGAACAGGA